ATGGCACGAAGGTATAGGAGTGTGGGGTTGCAGGGTTGTGGGACTGTGGGGGTGGCTGCCGGCGGTGCGGGTGCTGCCGGTGCTGCCGGTGCTGCCGGTGCTGCTCGGTATAAGCCAGTGCGCGTCAATAACCATGGCGGTGCGGGTGCTGCCGGTGCTGCCGGTGCTGCCGGTGCTGCCGGTGCTGCTCGGTATAAGCCAGTGCGCGTCAATAACCGTCCATCAGATGTAATAGCTCCCCGAGACACATCGGTTGCATTTAAATGGCTGCTTAGCCGACTCTGTCTCGACGCCGACGTGGATCTATGGAATTCCATCAAGCTCTACGGGATCCCTTATCGTCCTAACCGGGTCGCCGCGTCTCGGTCCAAGCGATCCCAGACCCACGTTATTTTCTTTACGCGCGCGCACGGCGTTGGCGTCGCCCACGTCTCTATAGCTGTATAGGGTGCATTTTCGCGGTTACTTTCTTACTTTTTCCCTAAGGGAAGTGGCAACGCGAAGCGACAAAATAACTACTTTCTCTACTCTTTCTTAATTCTTGATATTTCCGTTTCAGAGGGTTGGTTGCGCACTTACGGATGTTTCTCGAACAAACGCAAAACGCGGTTAAAACGATTACGATATCCCACAGCGGGTATAATCCGGTTGATCTTGGTTCGGTTCGGCTCAGCATCGTTCGGTACACGACAAAGCTCGGCTCGTGATCGGAACGGTCGCGAAGTAAACCATCGTAAGAGACAGGGTAACAAGCAGCGACAGCGTTGAATTCGCTGACTCTGAGCTTTCTCGATTGGTTCCATCCGCGAAACTACGTGCTCGTCACAACAGTTCGCTCTGGATTTTCACAGCTTCGATCCACCGTTTTTTCCTTCCCATTTCCCCCCCTTTTCCCCGTTATTCCATTTCTCTACTTTACCTATCCTTTTCGCTCCAGCGTTCGTCAATTCAACACTGTACTTTCATTCTTTTCGTTGCACGAAGAATATCGAAAGGCAGCGAAATACACCGCGCACACCGCGTGAGATAAGACGACCGTTCTTTTTGTTTGATAAAGAACAATTTCCTCGTTCCGTCGGCGGGCTTGTTTTTTCTTGCGTTACCTCTTTCGACACTTTCTCGCTCTCGAATCCGGCGTGCATCGTCGCATCGCGTTCTCTCTTTCTCTCTCTTTCCGGTACCCTCTACGCCGGTGACTTAATCCCTCGCGGGCGTCGCTCGTTTTGCCCGCGGCATCGCTGTAGAGTAGGCGAAGCTGACGGTGGTGTAGCGATGGTGTCTGTGGTGGTGGTGATGGTAGTGGTGGTAGTGGTAGCAGTAGTAGTAGTAGTAGTAGTAGTAGTAGTAGTAGTAGTAGTAGTAGTAGTAGTAGTAGTAGCAGTAGCAGTAGCAGTAGTAGTTGTTGTAGTAGTGGTGTTGGTGGTAATGGTGTTGGTGGTGTTGGTGGTGGTGGCGGCGGTGGTGGTGGTGGTTTAGGCGATGGCGGGGTGCGAGAGGGCAGCTACAGGCAAAAGGATCTGCATGGCGGCTCTACCGCGTCGCAAATCACTTAAACTGCGGCTGGTGGAGCTACGCGAGGGCAAGCTCGACTCTCGGGAAGGAGCGGCGGGCGAGGGGGTTGGATAGTCGAGGGTGCAGAGGATGGAGAAAGCGCACGAGGAACAGGGGCAAGAGGAGATGGAAGTAGAGGTGGAGGGTGATTATAAGACCGCTCGGGGTTGCTGGCTAGCGAGGTAGTACCATCCGTTATGACTATAAATCTAAGATAACAATAACGTCCCCCCTCATCCCTGAGCTTCGTTCGCTTCTCTCTATCTCTTCATCTCTCTCCCTCTTGCTCTCTCTTTCTCTTCTCTTCCTTTCCGACAACGGGTCTCTCGCTCTCTATTTCCCTCCGGTGTTCCCTATTCTCTCTCCTTTCAAACTCGTCTCTCTTTCTGTCCGTCCTTGCGATTTCTCGTCTGTTCGCCGCTCGCCGCTCTGCCGTTCTGCCACCCGTTCACCCTATCTAACCGACGGTGTCTAAACCCTCCGCTTCGCGGCGACCGTTTGTCCGGCCAGTATTAGCGCTTAGCGGTTGCTCGCGAACCGCTTGTTCTACGCGCACGGTCGTTCCACGCACGTGTCTCACGAATGCCGGGCTCGCGTTGCGTGCACGTTGTATCGTATCGGGTCCAACGTCCGCGTAAACGTCCGATACGCTGTCCTATTCGGTAGGTACTTGCGCGCGTGAAACCTCGCACGACTGTTTCTCACACGCTATCCTCCAGCCCCCGCCCCCTCCCCCGACCCCATCCCCTCTATCTTTTTGTTTTTCTGCGGTGAAGATAGAGGAAATCCGTGGAGGTCGAGAAGCAAAATTTCGGCCTATCTGGAAATCTCCGTTCGTGCCGCGTGTGTTTTCGTTGGCGCGTTAAGCTTTTCGAAATCGATGCGCGCTGTACGCTGTAGACGCGCACTTGTGCGGCACACCTGTGAATTTATCGATATTAGCTGGAACACGGCCGGTACAGCTGGCGCTAACCAAATGAAACCGAAGCTAGACCATTATTTCGCGCGGCAGATTTCCGAAGAAGGAGGTATACGAGAGCGAGGAGGAAAGACGTGGAAGATCTGTTTCAACGAACACGTGTTCGTCGTTCTTCGACATAGAGAATACGGGTTAGATACGGGTTAGATACGGGTTAGATACGGGTTAGATGGTTCGGTAAGCGTCGTTTCGTTGTTCGCAATGGTCGTAGTAGGCGCAGCGAGATAACCGTTTGGTTTTAACGTTTGTATCCGGTACGCTTTTAATTGGGCTTAATGCCGTAAACAGCGTGCGCGTTAATGAAAAGTACCTCGACGCGGCATTACTATTCGGTACATTAAGTCGCAAAATGAAATTCACAATCGATGACCACGCTGGACCACGATGGCGAAAGAGTAATAATGCATCGCGATAAATATGTATACGAGTTTATCGTAATAATGAGTTCACCGATTCCTGGTACAGAGGGAGCGAAACGTATAGGATGATGCGCGAACGGACGCGGTGGCTTGTCTCCGCACCGATACTCTCGGAGTAACAGAGACGGAGGAAAACGACGGGGATGGAACGGAGGAGGGATAGGCAGGAATGAGAGGCGGAGAGAGACGGAGAGAAAGAGAGAAAGGAAACGATAGCGACGAGCGGCGTGTATGTGCGTATGGGGTGCAGGCATGGGGGGTAGGCATGGGGCGTAGGCATGGGGGGCAGGTATGGGGGGTAGGGTAGAAGAGAGAATGGCATTGCCGGCGGAGGTAGCGGCAGCGGCAGCGACGGTAGGGGCGGCTAAAGTTGGTTATTTTATTGGAAATTTTGGCGAGTCCGCGCTCGAATTTGTGAATCGCGACTGTTCGATTGCTTTCAAAGGTAAATTAATATCGCGCCATGAACACGTGCCCATCCGATGCACTGATGAGCTTAATGAGAACGGAAGTAAAGAGCCGTGGATAAATGTTACTTTGATCAGCAACTAATTGGACTGCCGGGCAAAACACTAGTAATTGTCGATGAGCTCATAAAGCCAGGGACGAACATAATTTGTCCAACTGATTTCGGTTCGGAGTTACGTTTAAATCGGATAACTAGCGAAACTAAGCATCGCGCGGATCATACGACGATCTACGAGACGAAGGAAAGGAGGAAACGTCGAGATCTCCAAAACTATCGACGCTTCCGCCAATTTCGTTCGCAAGTACTCGCGCGATTCGAAAAGGTTGAGCCTCCTTTTTCGTTCAAGACACGGAGGACGTGGATACGCGCTAGGCGACAGCGGAGACGACAGAGGTAGCAAGTGGCCCGAAACGGTAGACATTGTTCGCAACGTGTCCGTCCAGTAGCAATAAAGGAAATCGAGGAATGAAGAGCCGTTTTGGTACATCTGCCGCTGCGTCGTCCATCACGGCCACAACGGGGCTAGCTAATACACGTATAATTACTCGTTTCTAAGATTTATTTTAACTAGCCCCTATATCTTCCGTCCCCCTAACGAGCATGACTCCCCGATTTACTCCGAATCGTTTCGTCCTCTTCTCTTACGGCGTCCGATCCTAGGTGAAATCTTGCACGAAGCATCTGACACGCGTTAAAACGCGTCGCGACGAGCGCGACGAACGCGACGAACGCGACGAACGCGAGGAAAAGATGAAAAAGGAAAGAAAAGACGAAGAACGGGAAGAAGGAGAGCGGTTGGAAGAAAGGGCGAAAAGGTATCGTTCGTTAGAATAGTTGGTCGACGGTGGACGGTCGACGGTGCGGCGTAACCCGTTCGCACCATTAACTCGTTCATAGGCGATCTAACGTCGTGGCGTTGTCTCACACCCCATAAGCCGGCAGTAAATCAGCTCTAGCACCCGCCTTACCATCCTCTACTCCCGCGCTTTGCCGTTTTGGCTTCTCTAGGTTGGAAACGACGGCGGCAAACCCGAAACTCAAGCCAAACGTAGGAACGAGCAGCTAACCTGGCTCGGGAGTAGGGTGGTACCAACGATGCCGACAGTGTCGGTGTAAGATCGCTCGCGAATCCATAATCGCTGTAAACCCAAGGACTTAGGCGGATGAAACCGCGGATCCTCTCTCTATCGCGAACGCAAGCACGCGCTCTCCTACACTTACGTTCATAGATACGTCCGTGGATGGTACATGAATGTACGTAAAGACGCGCCGGGTTGCTTCATTCAGTGGCTGGCAATCTGTATTAGCTTTCTCGTGTAGCCGAGAGGACGTACGAGAAGGTAGTTGGTGGTCGCCTCTAGCCTAAATCTATATTTCTACCTCCCATAACCCGTATCTGTTCATCTGCTACCACCGAGTTAACGGTGGCAGAAGCGTTTCGCGCAACCTTCCCACCCGTAACATCCCCTGTGTTTCCCTCCCGC